GAGATATCGAGACCTGGTAGGAGGTGAGCATGCAAACATGGTAAGCACTCAGCCTGGCAAGGGATGCGTATTTTTATGAGGCGTCTCAAAAGAGGGACAGAGGAGATATCGAGACCTGGTAGGAGGTGAGCATGCAAACATGGTAAGCACTCAGCCTGGCAAGGGATGCGTATTTTTATGAGGCGTCTCAAAAGAGGGACAGAGGAGATATCGAGACATGGTAGGAGGTGAGCATGCAAACATGGTAAGCACTCAGCCTGGCAAGGGATGCGTATTTTTATGAGGCGTCTCAAAAGAGGGACAGAGGAGATATCGAGACATGGTAGGAGGTGAGCATGCAAACATGGTAAGCACTCAGCCTGGCAAGGGATGCGTATTTTTATGAGGCGTCTCAAAAGAGGGACAGAGGAGATATCGAGACCTGGTAGGAGGTGAGCATGCAAACATGGTAAGCACTCAGCCTGGCAAGGGATGCGTATTTTTATGAGGCGTCTCAAAAGAGGGACAGAGGAGATATCGAGACCTGGTAGGAGGTGAGCATGCAAACATGGTAAGCACTCAGCCTGGCAAGGGATGCGTATTTTTATGAGGCGTCTCAAAAGAGGGACAGAGGAGATATTGAGACCTGGTAGGAGGTGAGCATGCAAACATGGTAAGCACTCAGCCTGGCAAGGGATGCGTATTTTTATGAGGCGTCTCAAAAGAGGGACAGAGGAGATATTGAGACCTGGTAGGAGGTGAGCATGCAAACATGGTAAGCACTCAGCCTGGCAAGGGATGCGTATCTTTATGAGGCGTCTCAAAAGAGGGACAGAGGAGATATCGAGACCTGGTAGGAGGTGAGCATGCAAACATGGTAAGCACTCAGCCTGGCAAGGGATGCGTATTTTTATGAGGCGTCTCAAAAGAGGGACAGAGGAGATATTGAGACCTGGTAGGAGGTGAGCATGCAAACATGGTAAGCACTCAGCCTGGCAAGGGATGCGTATTTTTATGAGGCGTCTCAAAAGAGGGACAGAGGAGATATCGAGACATGGTAGGAGGTGAGCATGCAAACATGGTAAGCACTCAGCCTGGCAAGGGATGCGTATTTTTATGAGGCGTCTCAAAAGAGGGACAGAGGAGATATGGAGACCTGGTAGGAGGTGAGCATGCAAACATGGTAAGCACTCAGCCTTGCAAGGGATGCGTATTTTTATGAGGCGTCTCAAAAGAGGGACAGAGGAGATATTGAGACATGGTAGGAGGTGGGCATGCAAACATGGTAAGCACTCAGCCTGGCAAGGGATGCGTATTTTTATGAGGCGTCTCAAAAGAGGGACAGAGGAGATATCGAGACATGGTAGGAGGTGGGCATGCAAACATGGTAAGCACTCAGCCTGGCAAGGGATGCGTATTTTTATGAGGCGTCTCAAAAGAGGGACAGAGGAGATATCGAGACATGGTAGGAGGTGAGCATGCAAACATGGTAAGCACTCAGCCTGGCAAGGGATGCGTATTTTTATGAGGCGTCTCAAAAGAGGGACAGAGGAGATATCGAGACCTGGTAGGAGGTGAGCATGCAAACATGGTTAGCACTCAGCCTGGCAAGGGATGCGTATTTTTATGAGGCGTCTCAAAAGAGGGACAGAGGAGATATCGAGACATGGTAGGAGGTGAGCATGCAAACATGGTAAGCACTCAGCCTGGCAAGGGATGCGTATTTTTATGAGGCGTCTCAAAAGAGGGACAGAGGAGATATCGAGACATGGTAGGAGGTGAGCATGCAAACATGGTAAGCACTCAGCCTGGCAAGGGATGCGTATTTTTATGAGGCGTCTCAAAAGAGGGACAGAGGAGATATCGAGACCTGGTAGGAGGTGAGCATGCAAACATGGTAAGCACTCAGCCTGGCAAGGGATGCGTATTTTTATGAGGCGTCTCAAAAGAGGGACAGAGGAGATATCGAGACCTGGTAGGAGGTGAGCATGCAAACATGGTAAGCACTCAGCCTGGCAAGGGATGCGTATTTTTATGAGGCGTCTCAAAAGAGGGACAGAGGAGATATTGAGACCTGGTAGGAGGTGAGCATGCAAACATGGTAAGCACTCAGCCTGGCAAGGGATGCGTATTTTTATGAGGCGTCTCAAAAAAACCCTGAAATTCCTGAATTTGGCAATCCTTTTTTTACCTACACTGAAAAATCAGTGTTGAGATTTTTTTGGGACTGATCTTTCAGCCTTTTTTGTTAGGCCACATTGAAATTTCAGACTTTTTTTCCCAAGTACACTGATTCCACAGCGTTGTAACGAAACTAACACTGAAACCAATTCTTACTTGTTCCGTGTGGATTTGCCCGCAATTACAGGGAATCTCAGATTCCTTCGGTGCTAGCACTCCATTGGGCTGTTTCGCTGCAGCATAAAGCGTTGGCTAATCGGAATGTGGCAACCATGTGGTGCTTGAGGGCTGCGAGGGTTCCTACACCGTTGGCTGTGCTGGCAAGCACTGATGCTCCCATTCCCTCCAATCCAATCTCTCATGCTACTTTTCCTCCTGTTTCTCTCTCCCTCCCTCTCAGCCCGATTCCTCTCGTGCTTTCTCGTCTGCACTAATACATGGCGCCATCAGCACCAGAAACGGCGGGCTGTTGGGAATCGAACCCATCGCGAGCGCCGCCGAACCTCCTCTTGTCTCGCCGAACACATCGCTCCCGTTCGACGCGATCCGCAGCGCATGCTGCGAGATGGTCGTCGGCCACGTGGCAATTCCCGTAGGTGTTGTAGGCCCGCTACGACTCGACGACGCGCAGTTTTTTGTGCTAATGGCGACGACCGAAGGCTGCCTCGTCGCCAGCACGAACCGCCGTTGAAAGGCCATCTGCGCCGCGGGCGGTGCGCAGAGCGTCGTGCTGCGCGACGGCATGACCCGCGCATGACCCGCGCGCCCGCCGTCCATTCCCCTGCTCCCTTTACCCCGCACTCCGTCCACTCCCTCTCTCCCCCGGTCGTCTCCCCCCCAACCGTGCTAGTCTTCCCTCCTCTCTCCCTCCTTTTCTCTCTTTCCCTGCCTCACCCTGCCTGTCAATCCGGTTCCTCCCCCAAACCCTGCCCCTGCAGCTTCAACGTGTATGTGTCGCAAGCAGAAGTGAAGCCGGGGTGTGTGTGTCAAAAAGCACTATCACGTACTGGTGTCCCAAGCTGAGGAGGAGAGAGAAGAACCAAAGGCTTAAGGGCAGTGATGATAGCACAGCTGGTGATGATTCATGAGGCATGTTAGCTTAGCAATGTTTTGGAAGGCTGCTACTGACTTAGTACATAAAATAGAGATTTCTAATTATAACAGCCTTTTATATTATTGAACACTGATGCATCAGCCTTTTTTCAAAGGCAACACTGATATTTCAGGCTTTTTTTTTTAGGAACACTGTCAATCAGGGTTTCTACACAGGGGTACCCTGATGGGTCGACGACCCTAAAAGTGAATCCGAGGCCTTGGAGTGAAGCAATTTCTCGATGTGTGTGAAATTCTCACAAGGTGTTGCTAGTGAGATGGCTGACTGACTCACAATGCCATGAGAATCAAAAGCTACTCGTGAGATTCAATACCGTACCACCATGCTCAGGATAAAATGCACTGTTTAATAAGATACACATTTGATTTTGCTGTGGTTGGTAGTAGCCTTAGGGCATGTTCCTACGGCCCCTTATCAGGGACACCTCGTATCAGCTTCGCATTTTTGCCTGGTAAAATTCTCGAAGGTTTTTTGGTTTAGGGAAATTTCAGATGTTGTGACGCGAGCGTGATAAGAGGTTGGCCTGATTGTCAGAATCCCAACCACTAGACCATTGGGATAAAAGGGCTTGTTAAGTAGCGGATCAGTGCGCCCATAACCCCCCAGGACAACGAGCCTGTAACCCTTCCCTAGGATCAATCGAGGATCACCAGTAGACCTCTGACACTGATAAGGGGCCGTAGGTACATGCCCTTATGGTAAGGGCAAGGAAGACAGACAGCACACACAGATGGTTGTGTTGTTGTGAGTGTGCTAATTCAGGAATAGATGTTGTATTATCTATGATGAATGCAGGGCTTTCACATAGATACTGTCAGTTAGAGTACAGTAGATACTGTCCTCTAATGGTTGAAAACCACATGAGCTGCGGTTGCCAGCCAGATTTTATCTCATCTACACTCCTGTTGGGCTGAGAAAAGCCCTTAGAATCTATTCAGGACTTAGATCGGGTGTTGACGTAGAGATGTAATAGCGGAAGCGTTTAATGAAGAATTACTTGAACTAGTGCTAGTGTGTGAGAATAAGATAAGTTAATTATAGCAGAGGAATATGGAAAGTTCTATTTTAACTGTTTTTGCTGTTGCGGTTCGATATAGTGCCGACTCGGGTAACTGCTCTGTAACGAGTCAGTTATGTGTCCTTGCTGTCGCACGGTACGTTTCGTCAGGTCAAAGGTCGGAGACCTTTGACCTTCGCGCAACCTCCGACGGTTGCCTTGGTTGACTCGAGTGCTTCTTCGCTGTAGTCAGTTCCGTTTTGTGTCGAAGTTTCGGTACGACAGAAGCGTTATAAATCACTTGTTTCCAACAACTCCTACCCGCGTCTACACCCTTTCTTAAACTATCGCTATCAGCAAGCTTGTAGATCCAAAAGGGACCATTGGGAGAGGTGGTGGGGCTGTTGTTACGCCAGCGGAAGTGGGAGGGGTAGAGGGAGCGAGCAGTGGTGAGTGGGTACCGTAATGAATTGAATGCATAAACTTCCTTACCCATACAAGGATCATCATTTAGAGTACAGCAAGTACTGTGCATATACTTCCCATACAAACGATCATCATTTAGAGTACAGCAAGTACTGTGCATATACTTCCCATACAAGGATCATGCATGGTTCATCAGTTAAGAGTACAGCAAGTACTGTGCACGAATGGTAGAAAACCACATGAGCTGCAGTTGCCATCCCGCATTAATCTCATCTACACTCCTACCCGCATCGACACCCTTTCTCAAACTGTCGCTCCCTGCAAGCTTATCAATCCAAAAGGGGCCACTGGGAGAGTTGGTGGGGCTGTCGTTGCGCCAGTGGAAGTGGGAGGGGTACAGGGAGTGAGCGGTGATGAGGAGGGTGAGAGCGAGACGTAGAGGATCGAAGGAGGCCGGGTCGGTGACGTGGATCTGGGGAAGTGGGGAGTGGGGAGAAGGGTAGCAAAAGGGTAAGGAAGAAAGGGAGAGTTGGTGGGGCTGTCGTTGTGCCAGTGGAAGTGGGAGGGGTACAGGGAGCGGGCGGTGGTGAGAATGATGAGAGCGAGACGGAGAGGATCGAAGGAAGTAGGGTTGGTGACATGGATCTGCAAGGGGAGTGGGAGAGCGAGAACACAATGGAGAGAGAAAAGAGTGAGAGTTGGTGGGGTTGTCATTGTGCAGAGTAGGATGACGACAAGACGGAGAGGATAGAAGGAAGCAGGGTTGGTGAGATGTATCTGGGGAGGGGGGAGTGGGGAGGTGGGGAAAATGGGAGAGGAAAGGGGAAGGGAATGAGGGAGAGGTGGAGGGGCTGTGGCTGGGCTAGTGGAAATGGAAGGGGTAGAGGGAGCGAGCAGAAGAGAAGAGGATGAAAGCAAGACGAACAGGATCAAAGGAGGCTGGGACAGTGACGTGGATCTGGGGACGGGGAGTGGGGACAATGGGAGAGTCAAGGGGAAGAGAGAACGAGAAGTTTGATGGGGGGGGGATAGAGGGAGCGAGCAGAGGTAAAGAGGTGAGGGTCAAAGGAGGTAGAGTTGGTGAGAAAAACAAAAGGAGGATCTGAAGAGGCCGAGTGGACTTTTGAGTCGACTCAGAAGTCACCTTTTGAGTCGACTCAAAAGGAGGTGAGGGTCAAAGGAGGCAGAGTTGGTGACAAAGAGAAAGGAGGATCTGAAGAGGCCGAGTGGGAATGGGGGGTATATTGAGGCGCCTCAAAACACACCTCAGGGTCAAAGGAGGCAGAGTTGGCGACACGCATCTGAAGAGGATGAGTGGCAATGGGGGAGACAATGAGAGAAAGCAACGGCTGAGAGTGGCGAGACAGAGAGGGACACAGGAGGCCGGATCTGTGACATGGGCTTCAGGAGAGGGGGTGAAAGAATGGGGGAGGGGGCAATGAGAGAATGACCATGTGTCATCAGGGAGGCCTTCTCCTCAGATCCATGTCACCGACCCTGCCTCCTAGGTGTGTGTGTTTGTGTGTGTGTGTGTGTGTGTGTGTGTGTGTGTGTGTGTGTGTGTGTGTGTGTGTGTGTGTGTATGTGTGAGTGTGTGTGTGTGTGTTCTTTTTTATTTTATTTTATTTTATTTTATTTTTCTACATAATAATAATAATAATTTAGTTTTAACCATGCCATACAGTTGCTTTCCTAGGTATTTACTGGCGACAGGAAGGAGGGAAAACATCCTGGGAGGGCAGCACATGCCGTTTGTTGTTGAGCAGCTCACCTCGATGCCGCACACTTGCTTTCCAGAGTATTTGCCAGCAGCAGGAGGGAAGACGGCCTCCCTGATGGCATATGGCCATTCACAGTCGTACCGCTGCCAATCCATTCCCCAGAATCACTTGAGAACAACACACCTCGAAAACATACTCCAGTAAAAAAAACAGCTCACCTCGACCCCGCACACTTGCTTTCCAGAGTATTTGCCAGCAGCAGGAGGGAAGACGGCCTCCCTGATGGCATATGGCCATTCACAGTCGTACCGCGGTGACTTTTGAGTCGACTCAAAGTCACCTCATTACAATGGCACACAAAAAGTAGGCCTCTCTGATGGCACATGGCCATTCACAGTCGTAATGCTGCCAATCCAATCCCAATAACAACTTGAGAACAACACACCTCGAAAACATACTCCAGTCTAAAAAACAACTCACCTCGATGCCGCACACTTGCTTCCCAGAGTATTTGCCAGCAGCAGGAGAGAAGTAGGCCTCCCTGATGGCACACCCTGGGCACCGTTGATCTCGCACTGCCTGGGCAAATCGATGGTCCATAAACGGCGCTCCGATCTGTGTGGAAGTTGAGGAGGAGAAGCACATTGGGGAGGGAGTAAAGGATGGAATGCGGGGGGAAGAGGGGAGGTGCAGGAAAATTCGCTAGGCACCACAAAAGTGAAGGAAGGAAGAACTCCAGCTCGGCTTATCCTGATTACTCTCTCGGGTTTCCTCACCCACTGACAACCTGTTTTTTGAGAATTCTATGCTGAATCTGTTTTTGTGCCCAGAAAACAGATTCAGCATACGTCTTATCCTGATTACTTACTCGGCTTTCCTCACCCACCGACAAGCCTGAGCAGACCGAGCCGGCGGCCTTTGCATCCTTCTCGGCATTCCGCGGTGACTTTTGAGTCGACTAGGTGACTTTTGAGTCGACTAGGTGACTTTTGAGTCAACTAGGTGACTTTTGAGTCGACTAGGTGACTTTTGAGTCGACTAGGTGACTTTTGAGTCAACTAGGTGACTTTTGAGTCGACTCATAAGTCACCTGAGCAGACCGAGCCGGCGGCCTTTGCATCCTTCTCGGCATTCCGCGTCCCCACGCTGACCTTCTGGAAACAGGTGACAACGAGTATTTCAAGTATCTACATCTGGGTTTGCTGTAACCACAAAATGATCTTTTGAGGCACCTCAAAGGACAAGCATTTGGGTATTCAGACAAAAACTCTATTTCAGGTATCTACATCTGAGTTTGCTTTAGCCACCAGGAAAACCCTCCCTCCCTCTGCAGTGTTCTTCTGCTCCTTGTGTCCCTTCCTCATGTTCAGCTGCATCAGTGTGGTGCCCACTGGGTTCCGTTCAGTGCACGCTGAATGGGTACCCAACCCTCATTCCACCGTAGTGTAGTGTGCACTGTGCAGTCAGAGCGATTACCATGGGGTAATGTGTCGCCTAGCACCCACCCTCTGTGGTGGTACCCATTCCCTGTACTTGCCAAAAACAGTGCTAGCCATAGCGATTCATTATCGCTGTGGAGGATATCAGTGAAGGCCTGTTCCCCTGTACCACACTTTCCCATCGGTTCGCATCTTCCCAGCTGGAAGGGCAGGGTTGTTGTCGTGACGTGCTAGCCATAGCAATTTCTTATCACCGCTGTGAAAGGTGTGAAAGATCTCATGCTGTGAAAGATCTCATGCTGTGAAAGATCTCATGCTGTGAAAGATATCACGGAACGGGAATTGGTTTCTTGTACCACCCTTTCCCATCGGTTCGCACCGTACCAGCTGGATGGAAGGGCAGGGTTGTGCTGCGTCATTTTCTCATTGTAATACACACACCCCTGCTACTTGGCTCAAATCCATTTCCATCAGTTTCTTACCAGCTGGAATGGCAGGGTTGTGCCACGGCCTTCACTCAAGTTGGTTCCCTGAGGAGCAAGGGAGTGGAGGGGGTGTTGCCAGTGCTGCTAAATGCGCCCAGACTTGCGTTGCTAAATAAACACATTTAGCAACATATGTTCGCTCTAACCTTGTACTCAGGTGTCCATGGTGTTATTTCGCGTCGTCAAATCAGCACCCATGCTTCCCTCCCACCTGTGCATTATTGGTAGTTTGGTCAGCAAAAGTTTCTCTATGTGCATTTCATAGCAATACAGGATGACTTTTGAGTCGACTCAAAAGTCTTTCCTCCTTGCTATGCACTACAGGGTACCTAGAATGATCAACAAAAGATTCTCCGCATGCATTATTTAGCAACGCAAGTCTGGGCGCATTTAGCAGCACTGGCAACTAGCAGCATGTCTTCTCACATTACAAAGTCCAACCAAGCATCAATCACACACCCCGCAGCACGAGCTGACCTTTGTCAATCACGAGCATACCTCTACGAGACACATGCATAGATAAGGCGCAGCACCTACAACAGATACCCCTATGAGACAAGTGCCGGCATAGAGGAGCGCAGTGGTGGGTGTGGGCATATTGGGTGACAGTGTGCGGACAAACGGCATCACTACCACACCTCATACTCACATAACACAAGTGCACTTATCAATGTCCCTGCGTACCAAAGCACGCGTCACAGCATGAGCATACCTCCATGAGACACATGCGAGCATAGACGAGAGCAGTGGTGGGTGTGAGCATGGTCAGTGGGAGTGGGACACACAGCGTTCAACCACACACCCCACAAGCACGAGCAGACCGTCATGGATCACAAGTCCACATCAATGAGACACGCACACACATACCTCCATGAGACATGTCCCAGCGTAGACAAGAGCAGTGATGGGTGTGGGCATGTTGGGCGACGGTGGGACCCACAGCAGCGGCTGTAGCGCGGTGGCCACTGTAGCACCTGCAGCTGTAGCAGATGAGAGTAAAGCTGCAACTGTAGCAGGTGGGCTTATAGATGATAGTGGTCCTGCTTCTATAGAGACATTCTGCTGCCGGATGGAAGCTGGTAACGGTGTGGTAGAATGGGAAAGGGAGGGGGAAGGAGGAGGGGCGGAGACAGGGCCAGGGGAACGAGAGGAGAGTGATGCGGGAGAGAGGAGAGGTTGCGGATAGGGGAAGAAAGGGAAGAAGGGGGAGGAGGAGCGAGACCAGCCTTCCATCTGCACCACTTCAACCTTGAATGAGGGAGAGAAGGGACGACTGGAGGTGCTGCTGCTGCTGCTGCTGCTGCTGCTGACACTGCCGCCGCCACTGAGCTGGGCGAGGTGGGGATCAGGTGGGAGGAACTCGGAGAAGAAGAGGAGGGCGAGCTCGCCCACTGTCATGCCGTGGCGCAGTGGGATGGCCTGAAAGAAAGTGGGGAGAGAGAGGGAGTAGCGTGGTTAAGGTTTAGGCTTAAAGTGGGTCGGGTGGGAGGAACTCGGAGAAGAAGAGGAGGGCGAGCTCTCCCGCTGTCATGCCGTGGCGCAGAGGGATGGCCTGAGATGGAAGAGGAGAGGGAGAAAAAGGGGACAGCAGGCAGCGGCAGAGGCAGAGGCAGAGGCAGAGAGGTGGGAGTTGACAAGCAGGGTGAGGTGAGGGTTAAGTGGGAGGAACTCGGAGAAGAAGAGGAGGGCGAGCTCTCCCACTGTCATGCCGTGACGTAGAGGGATGGCCTGACGTTGGGGAAGGGGGGAAAGGGCGGCAGACAGAAGACAGTAGCAGCAGAGGCAGAGAGAAAGGGAGAAAAAAACTTTGGGGGTGCTGACGAGGAGCGCTTCAGGTGGAAGGAACTCGGAGAAGAAGAGGAGTGAGAGCTCGCCCACTGGCATGCCGTGACGTAGGCGGATGGCCTGAGGGAGGGGGTAGCAGAAGAAGGCAGAGGGAGGGGCAGAGAGGTTAGCGTTGGCAGGCCTTGCAAGGTGGGGATCAGGTGGGGATCAGGTGGGGATCAGGTGGGGATCAGGTGGGGATCAGGTGGGAGGAACTTGGAGAAGAAGAGGAGTGCGAGCTCGCCCACTGTCATGCCATGGCGCAGAGGGATGGCCTGGAGGAAGGGGGGGTTGTTGGGGCTCCGTGACTCGCCCATCCACTACCACCCCTCCTAGAGGGTTGGGACAATGAAGCACGAGGAAGGAAGGTTGTGCTGTTGACACACGTGCTGGCAGCTATAGTAGCTGTTCTGCTACGCACCTTTCTCCCAACGAAGGAGGCGTGTTGGGGCTCTGTGACTGGCCCGTCCACCACCACGCCTCCCAGGGGGTTGGGTCTATCGAGCACGACGAAGCGGCGAACGGAGGAAGAGAGAGCAGCCGCGACGAGGCAGTCATAGAGCGTCCATATGAACGTGTAGAAACGAGCCTGTTGAGGGTTGGTTTCATGGGGGAGGGGAGAGGGGGCATGTGGAGGGAGGTATGGGGAGAGTGCTGCCGCCACGAGGCAGTCATAGAACGTCCAGATGAAGGTGTAGAAGCGAGCCTGGGGGAGGAGAGCAGGGGAGATGGCGGGCAGGAGGAGCAGGTTACGAGAGAGGGTGGGAGTGATGGATGAAGAGAGGGTTGGGTGTGTTGAGCACGAGGAATCGGCGAATGGAAGGAGAGAGGGCAGCTCAGCTGCGACAAGTCACTCGTAGAGCGTCTAGATGAATGTGTAAAAGCGAGCCTGGTGCGGGTTGGCTACATGGGGAAAGGGAGAGGGGGAAGGCAGAGGGGGGAGGGGGGAGGGAGGAGGGGAGATAATTTGTCATGAGGCAATTGTAGAGCGTCCAGTTGAATGTGTAGCAGCGAGCCTGAGGAGTGATTGATGGTGGGAGGGGAGAGCATTTGACATGAGACAGGGGTAGAGTGTCAAGATAAATGTGTAGAAGTGAGCCTGGTGAGAAGCGTAGGGTAGGGGGAAGGAGAGAGAGGAGAGAAGGGCGCAAACAGGATTGCACAGATATAGGCATTCATACCCCCTTATGCTACAAGACAGGGCTAGAGCGGAAAGAATACCCCCTTACGCACGCTAGCCTCACTCAGCCGTTCACTGTGTGCTTACAACCCCCATTAAGCCGCACCGCACTCACCCCGACGTCCTGGATGTCAAACACAATGGTATCAGCGCCAGAGGCTTCAAAACACTTGGCTATGGCTGGAGGATCCTGGGGCACAGACAGGCGAGCAGCACAAGAGGGAGTATAGATGGAAACAATAGCTGAAAACAATATGGGAAACAGAGAATATCTCAACAGTGTTATCAGCACCAGAGGCCTCGAAACGCTTGGCTATGGCTGGGGGATCCTGGGGCACAGACAGGCGAGCAGCACAAGAGGGAGTATAGATGGAAACAATAGCTGAAAACAATATGGGAAACAGAGAATATCTCAACAGTGTTATCAGCACCAGAGGCCTCGAAACGCTTGGCTATGGCTGGGGGATCCTGGGGCACAGACAGGCGAGCAGCACAAGAGGGAGCATAGATGGAAACAATAGCTGAAAACAATATGGGAAACAGAGAATATCTCAACAGTGTTATCAGCACCAGAGGCCTCGAAACGCTTGGCCATGGCTGGGGGATCCTGGGGCACAGACAGGCGAGCAGCACAAGAGGGAGCATAGATGGAAACAATAGCTGAAAACAATATGGGAAACAGAGAATATCTCAACAGTGTTATCAGCACCAGAGGCCTCGAAACGCTTGGCCATGGCTGGGGGATCCTGGGGCACAGACAGGCGAGCAGCACAAGAGGGAGTATAGATGGAAACAATAGCTGAAAACAATATGGGAAACAGAGAATATCTCAACAGTGTTATCAGCACCAGAGGCCTCGAAACGCTTGGCTATGGCTGGGGGATCCTGGGGCACAGACAGGCGAGCAGCACAAGAGGGAGTATAGATGGAAACAATAGCTGAAAACAATATGGGAAACAGAGAATATCTCAACAGTGTTATCAGCACCAGAGGCCTCGAAACGCTTGGCTATGGCTGGGGGATCCTGGGGCACAGACAGGCGAGCAGCACAAGAGGGAGTATAGATGGAAACAATAGCTGAAAACAATATGGGAAACAGAGAATATCTCAACAGTGTTATCAGCACCAGAGGCCTCGAAACGCTTGGCTATGGCTGGGGGATCCTGGGGCACAGACAGGCGAGCAGCACAAGAGGGAGTATAGATGGAAACAATAGCTGAAAACAATATGGGAAACAGAGAATATCTCAACAGTGTTATCAGCACCAGAGGCCTCAAAACGCTTGGCCATGGCTGGGGGATCCTGGGGCACAGACAGGCGAGCAGCACAAGAGGGAGTATAGATGGAAACAATAGCTGAAAACAATATGGGAAACAGAGAATATCTCAACAGTGTTATCAGCACCAGAGGCCTCGAAACGCTTGGCTATGGCTGGGGGATCCTGGGGCACAGACAGGCGAGCAGCACAAGAGGGAGTATAGATGGAAACAATAGCTGAAAACAATATGGGAAACAGAGAATATCTCAACAGTGTTATCAGCACCAGAGGCCTCAAAACGCTTGGCCATGGCTGGGGGATCCTGGGGCACAGACAGGCGAGCAGCACAAGAGGGAGTATAGATGGAAACAATAGCTGAAAACAATATGGGAAACAGAGAATATCTCAACAGTGTTATCAGCACCAGAGGCCTCAAAATGCTTGGCTATGGCTGGGGGATCCTGGGGCACAGACAGGCGAGCAGCACAGAAGGGGGGGGGAATAATTAAAGTACCAGTTCACAACCCGACGGGACCGGAAAACCTCAACATGGTATCAACGCCAGAGGCTTTAGAGAGGTCCCTGGAGTGCCTGACTGGCCCCACCTGAGCTGAGCCTCCTCCTACTACTATTTTTGAGGCGCCTCAAAAATAGATCCCACCTGAGCTGAGCCTCCTCCTCCTACTACCAACCAACCTCCTCTCTGCCTCACCTGCCCCCTACCTTCGACTCCTCACCTTCTGCTCCTCCCCACCTTCGTATATGGGGAGACCGGACTTGGGATTCCTTGAGGCAAACTCCACCTGCTTGTCTGCTCGCTCGTTACCAGCTCTGCTCCTCTCGCACTACTCACCTCCCCTCTTCCCCACCTGCTCGTCCCTACTGCCTACCTCGCCTCTGCCCCACCTGCCTCCCACCTTGCCATAGAGATCGAATATGGGAAGAGCGGTCTTGGGGTTCCTTGAGGCAACACTCCGACTTCCCTGCTCCCCACCTGCTTCCTCCCCATCACCTCCCCTCTGTTAGACTGTGCCTAAGTTTGGGATCCAGAGGCAAAAACAGTCTTGGGGTCTCTAGGGCCGGACTCCGACTTGCCTGCTCCTCACTGCGTTGACTTTTGAGTCGGCTGAAAATTCAACTCGGGATCCAGAGGCAAAAACAGTCTTGGGGTCTCTAGGGCCGGACTCCGACTTGCCTGCTCCTCACTGCGTTGACTTTTGAGTCGGCTGAAAAGTCAACTCGGGATCCAGAGGCAAAAACAGTCTTGGGGTCTCTAGGGCCGGACTCCGACTTGCCTGCTCCTCACTGCGTTGACTTTTGAGTCGGCTGAAAAGTCAACTCGGGATCCAGAGGCAAAAACAGTCTTGGGGTCTCTAGGGCCGGACTCCGACTTGCCTGCTCCTCACTGCGTTGACTTTTGAGTCGGCTGAAAATTCAACTCGGGATCCAGAGGCAAAAACAGTCTTGGGGTCTCTAGGGCCGGACTCCGACTTGCCTGCTCCTCACTTCGTTGACTTTTGAGTCGGCTGAAAAGTCAACTCGGGATCCAGAGGCAAAAACAGTCTTGGGGTCTCTAGGGCCGGACTCCGACTTGCCTGCTCCTCACCACTGCGTCTCACATGCTACCCACCCACCACCCCTCCTCAGCTCAGCACCTGCCCGCTTTTTCTGCTCCCCACCTTGCCGTAGAGATCGAATATGGGGAGACCGGACTTGGGGTCCCTCGAGTGTCCGACTTGCCCCACACCTGAGCCTCTCCTCCTACTTCCAACCTCTTCGCTGTCTCACCTGCTCCCCACCTTCTGCTCTCCATCTTCTGCTCCTCACCTTGCCATAGAGATCGAATATGGGAAGACCAGTCTTAGGGTCCCTTGAGGCGGACTCCACCTGCTTGTGTGCTCCTCCTTACCTGCTCCCTCTCTCACTACTCATCTCCCTCTTCCCCATCTTTTCGTCCCATCTGCCTCACCTTGCCGTAGAGATCGAATATGGGGAGACCGGTCTTGGGGTCTTTAGAGGCGGATTCTGACTTGCCTGCCTGCATGGGAGGGTGGGGGTGGAAGGATCACAGAGGGGAGGGGGAGGAGGAGGATCAGGAGGAGAGAGGGATGGGCAGACCAGTCGTGGGGTCCCTTGAGGGGGATTCTAACTTGCCTGCCTGCACGGGTGGGTGGGGTGGGGAGGATCACAGCAGGAAGGAGGGGAAGGATGGCAGGCTGAATCCGGAAAGGCAAGGACAAGATCGAATATGGGGAGACCAGTCTTGGGGTCTTTAGAGGCGGATTCTGACTTGCCTGCCTGCATGGGACGGTGTGGGTGGAACGATCACAGGAGAGGAGGAGGAAGGTAAGGGGAAGAGGAAGAGGAAGGTAAGGGGAAGAGGAGGAAGGTAGGGGAAGAGGAGGAGGAAGGTAGGGGAAGAAGAGGAGGAAGGTAGGGGAAGAGGAGGAGGAAGGTAAGGGGAAGAGGAGGAGGAAGGTAAGGGGAATGGGATGGGAAGAACCAGGGCAAGATAGGGACGAAAAGAATTGCTGGGATCGTTTGAGGAAAACTCTTGAGTTGCCTGCCTGCCTGCACGGGAGGTGGGTGTGGAACGATCACAGGGGGGGAACGAGAGGAGGAAGGTAAGGGGGATGAAACTGGAAGATCAAGAATGAGACAGGGACGAAAATCATCGTCGGGATTGTTTGAGGGCGACTTCGACTTGCCTGCCTGCATGCGTGCGCGAGGGATCATTTAAGGAAGGAAGGAAGCAGGGCGGGATGGGGAGCACGGGAACAAGGTAGGAAAGGGAAGCATGGCATGAGCCAGCCAGACTTAAAAGGCTGGTCCGGGCCGGCTTTACAGTTTTTCCTCTTTTTTTTGGCCTGACGCATGCCGGTTCAGGGCCGGCCCGCCTGGCCCAAACTCGCCCGAGCCAGCCTGAGCTGCAGCAAAGGTGCGCACAGACTTAGCAGCAGAAACATCTTAAGTGAAAAAATATCTCAGCAGCACGACTTTTGAGACGTCTCAAAAAAAATACCTCAGCAGCACGTGCTCCCCTCCATTCATTCATTTGCCCCTCTGCTAGGAGCTCGCGTGCCCCTCCTTGTCCCGGGGCTGGCCAGACCCGGGCCGGCATATGGTTGCAGTTTTGAGACGTCTAGTTTTGAGACGTCTAGTTTTGAGACGTCTCAAAACTTGTCCCAGGGCTGGCATATGGTTGCATCGCCAAGGGTCAGGTGTCTTGCCCGGCCAGCCCGACCTGGGCGACTTTTGAGTCGATTCAAAGGCCGCCCCGAGAAGAGGGGCGGTGAGGGTCGGGCCCGGCCACGGTAGGTCGGCTCTCGCCGCCCCTCTTGTCCTCATGCCCTTGGCTTGCCTGACCTGGCCCGTGCTCATGCCTAGGCTGAATAATGCTTCCACTCATCTAACAGCAATAGCAACCGATTCGGGATAACTAGCAGAACACCTGGCTTGAATGCAAGTGACTCACATGCGCCGTGCTTTCCACCCCTCCTAAGGCAACGACCAACCAGTCAACATGGCAATCCCTGCGCACAGAGTAGCACCCAAGCAAGTGACTCATCTTCTAAGTGTCTCCCCTGCGCCGTGCCTCTGAACCCGTGCTCGGGCCCAAACATGGCCACCAGGTGGACGGGAGGTTGGGAGGGCTAAAATGAGTACTTCTGCCATCCCTCTTTCCCCATGCCTACCCACACACTTCCCATGCCATCCCTCATAAAAGACATCTTCTAAGTGTCTCACCTGCGCCGTGCCTCTGAATCCGTGCTCGGGCCCAAACATGGCCACCAGGTGAAAAGGAGGTTGCGGGTGCACAGCCGTGTGACTGTGCATGGCATCTGCCTGGGGGAGGGGATGGGCGAAGGAGGGGGGGAGAGTAGAAGTGATGATGAAAACGTTTCAAATGAGCTTATAAGTTGAAAGGGAGGCGGGGAGTGCACTGTGAAACCATGCATGGAATCTGCCTGTGCGGGTGCGGTGTATGGAGGGAGGAGTAAGGGAGAGTCATAGTGATGGGACAAGGGAAGAAATCAGCCTAGGAGTTGAAAGGGAGGCGGGGAGTGCACTGTGAAACCATGCATGGCATCTGCCTGTGTGGGTGTGGGATTGCGGGAGGAGGGAGAGTAAAAGTGATGAGACAAGGGATGCATTTCGCCTAGGGAGTGCACAGCTGTGAAACCATCTGAGAGGCGGAAGGGAGGCGGGGAGTGCACTGTGAAACCATGCATGGCATCTTCCTGTGCGGGATTGAATTGGATTGGGAAGAGGAGGGAGAAAGAGAGAAGCGGAATGGATATTGGTTAGGATAGCGCAAGCAACGCAGAAAGGTGCTTGGGAGGTGGAAGGGAGGTTGTGAGTGTGCAGACGTAAAACCATGTATGCAAGGCATCTGCCTGCCCTGTGTGCGGAATGGGGAAGAAGGGGGGGCGAGAAACGGAAAGCGGAAATGGCGTTTAGTTGGCACAACGCATAAAACGCTTAGGAGTTGAAAGGGGGAAGGGGAGTGTGCAGCCGTGCAACTGTGCATGGTATCTGCCTGTGTGCGGGATGGGAAGAGGAGGGAGAAACGGAAGGAAACGCGGGATGGAGTTTGGTTTGAATAGCGCAGCGCAGCAAGGTGGCTCGGAAGTGGAAAGGGCGGTACATCTGTGAATGGGAAGAAATGGGACGGTACACGGTACAACAACCATGCAAGGTGACTTATGAGTCGACTCAAAAGTCACCTCGCACCTTGTTGCGTGGAAAGGGCGGTACATCTGTGAATGGGAAGAAAGGAGACGGTACACGGTACAGTACAACCATGCATTGCCATGCCATCTGCCTGTGCGGGATGGGTGGGGTAAGAGAGGAGACCAGTCAAAGTATGAGAAACGAGGAGGGAAAACGAGGAGGTGAGAGGTAGGAGAGGAGGGTACTGCCGGAAAATCGTGCATTGCCATCTGCCTGTGCGACGTCTCAAAAATCATGCATTGGCATCATGCATTGCCATCATGCATTGCCATCTGGTTTTGAGACGTCTCAATACTGCCGGAAAATCATGCATTGCTGCTCTTCCACTATGAGCGAAGACCCTTGGGAAAATCGTGCATTGCCATCTGCCTGCCTGTGCGGGATGAAGGGGGGAAGAGGAGAGAACAGTCGAAGAGGGGATGTGGCTTGGGGAGAACAGGAAGGGGCAGAGAAATGAAATTATGGGTGTGAGTGAATGCCGAGAGAAAAAACAAATTAAGGAATAGGAGAGTTGAGTGAAAGAAGAGTGACAGCATTGTTTCAGCATCGTTTCAGCATCGTTTCAACAGTGTGTGAGACTCACCAAGTGGGTGAGATCTCGAAGCACAGACGTGGCATTGGCAATCAGCCCGACCTGGGAAGGAAGAGGGGAAAGGGGGACAGAGGAAGGGAGGAAGAGAAATGTTACAGCTCTGTTACAGCATCGTTTCAGCAATGTGGGTGGGTGAGATCTCGAGGCACAGACGTGGCATTGGCGATCCGCCCGACCTGCTGGCACAGATGATGAGGGGGAGGGTAAAGGAAGGGGAGCGAAGAGGGACAGGGAGAAGGTGGGGGAGAGAGGGCGGTGAGATCTCGAGGCACAGACGTGGCATTGCAATCAGTCCGACCTGCCAGACCTGTTGAGTTGAGACGGTGAAGCGGGGGGGGGGGGGGGGGGGGAGGGGAGACAGAGGAAGGAAGGGATGTGTGAAGGCAGCGCATGGGGGAGGGAAGCCACGTGATAAAAGTTGTATTTTGAGACGTCTCAAAATACACGTCTCAAAATACACGTCTCAAAATACAGAGGAAGGAAGGGATGGGTGAAGGCAGCGCATGGGGGAAGGCAGCGCATGGGTGAGGGAAGCGCATGGGGGAGGGAAGCGCATGGGGGAGGGAAGCGCATGGGGAAGGGAAGCGGAGAAATCTGGAGGCACAGATGTGGCATTGGCAATCAGCCCGACCTGCCTGAAAGAAGCAGATGATGCGGGGGAGGGTAAAGGAAGGGGGGCGAAAAAAGAGAGGGAGAAGGCGGGCGGGAGAGGGAAGGAGGCGGTGAGATCTCGAGGCACAGAGGTGGCATTGGCAATCAGTCCGACCTGCCAGACCAGATGGGGAAGGAAGGGTGAACTGAAGGAAGGGGATGGGGGAGAAAAGTGATGGGGAGGGAAGGGGGTGGCGGAGAGAAGGGGAGGGAAGGGGAGGTAAGGGGGAACAGGAGCAATCAGTCCGACCTGCAGGCCCTGAGTGAGACGGTGAGGCGGAGGGGAGAGAAGGGGCGGGAAGGAGAGGTGAGGGGAGGTAAGGGGGGAGGGGAGCAATCAGTCCGACCTGCTGGCCCGGAGTGGGACGATGGAGGAGGAGGGTTCACGCGAAGGGGGATCGGAGTAGAGAAAGCAGAAAGAGAAGGGGAAGGAAGGCGAGAGATCTTGACGCGCTGACGTGGAAGGGCGAGACGGGGAAGGGCGAACCTTATAGCGCCTTATAACGCGTACAGTGCACAAACCCACCCTTCCCCATCCCCCACCCACCTTGCTCCCTCGCAGCCGCGCGAACGACTCGGCGCGCAGCACGTCGCAGCCCATTAGGATGCCGCCATGGCTGCCGCCGCGTGCTGCTTCGTGCTGCCGCCCATCACGGCGCGAAGCGCCCTGCCCCATGACAAATGCTCGTCAAACCTAGTTTCGCTTCGACCACCCCCTTCGGTGTCAACCCTATCGCAAATGCCCCTGGCACATGACGGTGGTTCACCCTATTTCGCTTGTACAACAGGCTGAGGAGCAAATGCCCCTGGCGCAAGACTGAACACGTACGTTCCGCGTTGACGATTCCTCGAGCAACGACGAAAATGAGCAAGATAGGTGAATTGGAATTTGTACGCGATACGGACAATTGGACGAGAGAAATATAAAAGAGTGCATGCATAACGGTTGTAGATATTGGTACTCACATTGGTATAAAAATATATATGTATTTTTTTAAGGATGAAATACACTATAAAGTGGTTACATCCACAGTCGTAACTGTAGGGGGGGAAGGGACCGGGAAGACAAGGGGGTCTACACGGCAGGGCCTGTGCTAGGATTTAGGGCACCCTGAGCCCTCAGGGCAACTTTTGAAAACTTTCTAAAATGCCCTGATTTTTCAGGGCGAAATTCCCTGGCCATCCTGAAATTTCAGGGCACCAGCAGAAATTTATCTGGATGTTTCAGGGCAAAAAATACAAGACACTGGAGTGGAGGGGAAGGCACGAGAGGAGCAGGTTGTTCAGTGGTTTCACTACAACTGGCTGAGCAAAAACTTTGGAGGGGGAGGGGTGGGGACAAAACTAGCACACAGACCCCCTAGCCTCCTTCCTCCCCTCTCCCCCTCTCCCCCCCCTCCACCCCTTCTTCCCCTTCCCACGAGTCAAGGCATCCCTCTACATTCACCCTAACGCTTCAGGGCAAAATTTCACTGCCATTCTGAAATTTCAGGGCAAAACACATGAATCATCCTGAAGTTACAGGGTAAATTTCAGCGTCATTCTGAAATTCCAGGGCAACCTTAAAACACCATCCTGAAATCAGGGTAATCAGGATGTTTTACCCTGATATCGTGGACCCTGACCTACGGTGGTTGGAAGGTGGTTCTCGGGTTGGACCACACCGATCTGAACCCTTCCTTCCATGCCAACGTGTCTTCATCACAGAACATTCTGCTCAACATTGCTGCCTCATCTTGCGCCAAATGGCCCCAGCTTTACACCGCCCCTTGCCTGTCTTTTCTCACCGCTTGCTTTTTGTGGGCGCTGTAAAATTCTGACATGCTTCATGAAGTTCACCCCAATCTTCCTGAGCACCCTCTGCGGTTGGAATTTGCCTTGCCGAAAAACTGCTTCACACCGTTTTAGCCAGATCTGGTGGAAAGCCACATCTATCAACGATTTTTCCGGGAAGCCCGTTTTCGTGCCATCCTCCCTGAATAAGAAATCCTCCAGTCTCCCCATCTTCCGTTTTGGGTTCATCTGCAACAGTGCTCCCTTAACCGCGCCGATGTCAGGCTGGATGTTGTCACATTCCAGTAAACAATGTGCGGACATTTCCTCCTCGTCGCAGTGCGGGCAGCTGATGTTTTCTTTGATGAACTTCAGCCTGTCCCCCACCTGCAGATTCTTGCTGTGGAGCCTCAGTATTACCTCCCGCACCCTGCCCGGGGTGACCAAGGTGTCTCGCTTCCGGATGATCTCCCCCCAGTTTATGGGCTGCTTTGGTTGCTCAACCGGTCCCTTCAGCACAGCCCTCAGCTTCCGTGGAGGAGCTCCTTTCCCTTCTTCACACAGCACCGATTGTCTCAACCGTGTGAGCGGGAGGCCAGCCTCTCCCGTAAGTTTGTTATCTTCCACCATCAGCGGCGTCACTCTGTGCATCTCTACCCGCAACTGACTGGCTTTGTTCAACAGGAGCACTTCCCCCTTTTTTCCTACTTCTGCTGGCTTGCACCAGATCCCACTGCCATCCGCCGAAATCAACTGCCAGTACATGATTCTCCCTGTCAAGGAGCGTGTGCTGGCGAAGCTCGTTAAGCCCATAACTTCCTCTGCAGACAGCTTCGCCAAGAGGGCATTCTTCCAACTGTCCGGTACAGCTTTCCAAGCTTTAAGCACTCAACGCGATGTTGTTGAGCTGCCCGTTTCTCTTGTCAGAGTCCACACATCCTTAACACTCCGTGTGCCATCCCACTCTGCCTTAATCAGATCCCCCACCTTTATCTCCAGTAGGCACTCAGAGCCTTTCTGCCTCCCGAAGAGACTTTTCCCCCGATAGAAAATATATATGCTGAAGCATAGCCGTTCGTTCGCGTATTCCCAGCGATTGTTCGGTGCAGGGAGTTTAGGTTGCAGCGTCTGCCAGATATTTATAACCGTCCTTCGAAACTTTTCCCCTCCCTTGTTCCACAGGCGCAGGACCGACCGGTCAGCCAGGAGCGTCGTCCATCCGAAAGGCATACCCGCCGCTCGCTCCATTAACCAATGCTTCATCTGGTCTCTCTGCTGTACCGCATCACCCAAGCCTTTAAGCGCCATGCACTCCATTCTCACTGTTGGGCTGATCACCCCCAAACCTCCCTCCTTTCTATCTTCGTAAGCCAGGTCGCCGCTCCAGAGGACAAAATGTCTGTCCCCCGACGCCTTGCCGCTGGACGTGAAATTATGATTGACTGTGCGAAATTCCTTCCATATCCCTTTCGGTGGTGGATAGACCTGCGCCTGGAAGTGTCAGAATGTCATAGTGCTTACATTTGTGTAGGCTATAGTGGGGTAGCCCATAATGGGTACAACCCAATTAGGGTTAATACTTGTACCCAACTTCTGTTCAATGCATTCATTCTCGTTCATTCTTCTGACATGGTTTCGGAGCAGGTCCTCGGCTAGGACCGTTTTTTTTCCTTGGGCCCACCACAGCGCTACCCCGCTAGCCGCCCTCTGCAGCCCTCGTGCTGCCCCTACTGCCCGTCGACCCCTAGGCCAGGCCCCTCAGCCCGTCGCGACCCGTCGCCCCTAGGCTCTTCGTCGCCCCGGCTGGTCGCCCCTAGCCCGGCGCCCCTTATGCCCGTCGACCCCCGGCCCGTCGCCCCTAGCCTGTTGACCCCCGGCCCATCGCCCTAGGCCCGTCGCCCCGGCCCGTCGCCCCTAGCCCGGCGCCCCTTAGGCCCGTTGACCCCCGGCCCGTCGCCCCTAGCCCGTCGACCCCCGGCCCGTCGCCCTAGGCCCGTCGCCCCCGGCTCGTCGCCCGTCGCCACCTAGGCCCGTCGCCCCGCCGCCCGTCGCCCCGCCGCCCGTCGCCCTGCGGCTCGTCACCCGTCGCCACCTAGGCCTGTCGCCCCACGGCTCGTCACCCGTCGCCACCTAGGCCCTTCGCCCCGCGGCCTGTCACCCGTCCCCCCCCCCCCTAGGCCCGGCCCGTAGCCCGTCGCCTCGCGTCCCGTCGCCCTTAGGCCCCCCGCGACCCGTCGCACCTAGGCCCCCGGCCCCTCGGCCCGTTGCTTCTGGCCCCGCGACCCGTCGCCCCTAAGCCCCGCGGCCCGTCGCCCCTAGGCCCCCGGCCCCTCACACCTGGCCCCGCGGCCCGTTGCCCTTAGGCCCCCCCGAGGCCCGTCGTTCCTGGCCCCGAGGCCCGTCGCCCCTAGGCCCCCAGCCCCTAGGCCCGTCATTCCTGGCCCCGCGGCCCGTCGCCCCTAGGCCCCCGGCCCCTCGGCCCGTTGCCCCTAGGCCCCGCGGCCCGTCGCCCCTAGGCCCCTGGCCCCTCGGCCCGTCTCTCCTGGCCCCGTGGCCCTTCGCCCCTAGGCCCCTCAGCCAGTCGCCCCTAGCCCCCCAGCCCGTCACTCCCGGCCCCTGCAGCCCGTCGCTCCTAGCCCTGGGGCCCTTCCCCCCCTAGCCCCGGCCCTTAGCCCCTGGCCCCGCGGCGCGTCGCCCCTAGGCCCTCGAGCCGCCCCTCCTGCAGCCTGCTGCCTACCCTTTTCCTCGCGCTGCCCGGCCTCTGCCCGGCCTACGTGCTGCGCCACTATGGCTTCTCTCCGCATGCTAGCGTTTGATCATGAGGGACGCCCCCTGCAGTTTGACACATGGCTCGACGACCTGCAGCTGTACCTACTGAGTGACTCTAGGGACAGTGTTTCGTTGTTTGACCACACGTCTGGCGCCGCTCCCGCCCCTCCCGCCACAGCTGACAGTGCGACTCGTTCACAGTGGCTGACTCGCGACGCTGCTGCCCGCTTAGCCATTCGCGACCACCTCCTGTTGGCCGAATGCGCTCACTTCGGATAGCACAGGACACCGCAGACACTGTACGACGCTGTAGTCACTCGCTACTCCTCGCCTGCCAATGCTGCTCTAGGCCGCCTCCTCCTGCCCTACCTGTTCCCCGAGCTGTCCGCCTTTGCCACAGTCGAGGACCTGGTTTCCCACCTTCGCGCTAGCGACGCTCGCTACCGCGCTGCCCTCCCCGCGGAGTTCCTTGACACGAACCCGCCCCCGATGTACATCACTCTCTACTTTATAGTCACACGCCTCCCTGACTCTCTGCGCTCTGTCAGGGACCACTTCCTCTCCCTTGACCCCACCTCCCTCACTGTTGACCTACTCGAGCAGCACCTCCTTCCAACAGAGACTAGTGCAGTAGCTGTAGGTGCTGCTCGTGGCACTCCGCGCACGCCCTTCTTTGAAGGGTGCTCCCCCTCCCCCCTTGCCCCCTCCTACGCCTCTGCTCCTACTGTAGACGTCCTTAGTACTGAGGATGTCGGGGCTGCTTCTGCTAGTGCGAAGCGCCGCAGCAGCAAGGGCAAGGGTGGCAGGGGTGGTGGAGGGGGCAGCAGGAGTGGTGGTGGGGGCAGCAGTGGAGGCAGTGGAGGCAGTGGAGGTGGTGGCAGCGGTGGGAGTGGTGGAGGGAATGGGGGAGTTGGTGGCGGCGGTGGAGGCAGCGGTGGGAGTGGCGGTAGTGGCAGCGGTGGCAATGGTGGCGGTAGGACTGGAGCTCAGCGTGGAGGTTCTGGAGGAGGCCAGCGGCAGCGGCAGTAGCGTCGGAGCGAGACCCCTTCGCCTCAGCAGCTTCGTGAGTGGTTGTTTCAGCGTGGGGCGTCTGGGGGTAGTGTGAGCTGCCCTATGTCATTCGCACGGGTGACC